CTTTGGGTAGATACCAAGGAGTGGGATTGCTGGATCATATGGTAGTTCTATTTGTAGATTTTTGAGGAATCTCCTAATTATTCTCCACAGTGACTGGACTAATTTACATTCCCACCAGCAGTGTAAGAGAGCTGCTTTTCCACCACCCCCCCACCAGCACTTACCATTTTTTTGTTTTTTTTTTTAATCTTAGTCATTCTGACTCAGGTTAGGTGGTATCTCAATGTTGTTTTGATCTGCATTTCCCTTACAATGAGGGATGTTGAGCATTTTTTCATATGTCTTTTAGCCATTCGTATGTCATCTTTAGAGAGTGGTTTTTACAACTCATTCTCCCATCTTTTAATAGGATTGATCATCTTTTTTCAGAACAGCTGCTTGAGTTCCTTGTAAATTCTGGTTATCAGTCCCTTATCTGATGCATAGTTTACAAAAATATTTTCCCATTCTGAGGGCTGTTGATTCACACTAATTACTGTGTCTTTTGCCATGCAGAAACTTCTTATTTATTATTACTTAATTTGCTATAGAGCATGTGTACTCACGAGAGAGAGAAAGAGAAATTAAGAAAGCCAGCCGCCAAGTCAGGGGCTTGAACCTCTGTCGGCCATGTGGGAATCCAGTGCCTTTAACCACCACACCACCTGCTGGCCCTCTTTTGACTATTCTAATATGGCTCTTAGAAATGTTTGCATTTTATTTTTATTGAACTTTTAAATTTTATTTCTATTTATTTTATTCTAGGACCCAATTTTATTTCTATTGAGCTTCACTCTTCAAAATGGCCCTCAACTGTTCCTTCCTGGCATTTCTCATGATCAGTTACAACCATCTTAATTCAGGTCCTCATTTCTCACATGGTACCCAACAGTGGCCTTCGGTCCTAGTTCTCCTCTAATGTTCTCGGCAGATTGTAACTATAGGATCTACCTAAAATGTGAACATGGCTCCCTAAGCCTCTGACTTCAGCCCTTTTGGTGACATCTGTGACGCGCCACTGAGTCAGCTCCTTGGCTTTCCTGCATGCACTCCAGGGGAGAGCTGGTCAGCACTATCTGCCCTTCTTTCTCAGCTCTCTGCTGTCTCTTCCCTTATTAGAAGTCTCCCAGTATTGCCAATGGAACTAACCCCTACCCTCTGAAGACTTGGTTCTTCCCTCCCCACTCCCATGCCGGGCGCTCTTGTCTGCCATCATAGAAGCCTATTTCCTGGTTGTCTGTCTGCTCCAGGCTCTGAGCACCAGGCTTCCCAGGGCTTATCCAATGGGAGGCTCTGTAAAGGCTGATTGGACTGCCCAGGCCCAGAGGGGTTGGCCCTTCATTCCAAAGGACACATCAGCTATCGTTGAACCCCCCAAAAAAGAGGAAAGGGATTATTGGTAGACTACCTACCAATCTCTCTTTATTCTCAAAATTCCCTCCAGGTATTCAGAGGACCTCACTCCCCAATTCTACGTCCCCAGTAATCCTTCTGTCTCTCTGTTCTCCCCCAGAGGTCCCTGTAGACAACTGTGGGCTCCGTCAGTGGTCTTCTGGAGTAGGAGTGGGAGTCCTGCTGAGTCAGAATGGCTCTCTCACTCAGAGGGAAGGGGCTGGGGCAGATGGCATCTGCTGTGGAGTGAAAAGGGGGCAGGCAGCTGAGCGAGCTGGAAGCATCCGGGGTGTCCTGCCCTCCAACCTTCCTTTGTGCCTGCTCCCCCCATAGACCATAGTAACCTGGGAGGAGGAGCAGCTGGTGTGCGTGCAGAAAGGCGAGGTGCCCAACCGGGGCTGGAGACACTGGCTGGAGGGAGAGACGCTGTATCTGGTAAACTGGGCGAGGGGTGGGAGGGGAGCCAGGAACAGGCACGTCTGGGAGAACAGACGTGCTGGGAGGCACCCTGTGCCCAAACCAGACGTGGCTACTGCCCACCCCACCCCACCCAGCTCCATGACCACTGGGAAAGTGGGGAGTGGAACAAAACAAGTGGACCAGGTGGGCCCTGGCTAGGAGTCACACAAACACCCATAAATTATCACTGGCGAGGGGAGACAGCCATTTCACATCCCTGACCCAGCTACCTTCCTTCCTCTGGCGAAAGTCGAGGATCTGGAACAATGGTTCAATTTTCCATACATCAAATGCCTGAGCTGCTGTATCCTGAAGGATGACACGGGGTCAAGGACTTCGAGGAAGGAGTTTGGGCTGGCCAGAGGCCTCCTGCTCTCTCCTCATCTGTCCCCTCTGTCCCCAGGAACTGACTGCGAGGGACGCGGTGTGCCAACAGGTCTTCAGAAAAGTCAAGTAGCAGAGGGCGCCACTCCGTGGACCCTGCTCGCCTGGGCCCCCTTCAAGCCCAGACTGTGGCAGGTCAGCACTCCCTTCCTCAGGCCACTCATCCTGCCCCGTGTCCCTGCTTGCCCTGTCCACGTTAATCCTTAACTTGAAGCCCAAAGTCCTCTCCTCCTCGCAGCCACTGTCCAACTGTGACCTCACTTCCAGTTCAAGGTCTGGCCTCCTGGATGAGGGCAACGGGCAAGGGACAGGGTCCGTGAGAGAGCCAGTGTCCACTCTCCAGTTCATTTGGCCTCCTGCTTGCTGTCTAAGAAAGAGCTTGGGCATTTGGGGGCTAGTAAAAATTCTATCTTGATGGTCCTTCTGGAAAACTGTGGCCAGGGCTCAGGGATTTAAACAGGAGCGACTGGTGAAGTCTTTTTGTCCATTTGCTTGTCCTTCCTCCAGAAAGTCTCATGTGCTCCACAGAAGCAGGCCCAAGGCATGGCCTCATCCACACAGGGGCAAGAGACTCATCTTCTCCACCATCAGAGGGCGTTCTGCTATTTTATAATCCAGCCTACTTGTGTAAGGGGAGGGATGGAGCTAACCAAGACCTTTGCCTGGTGCTGGGGGAGACTTGGACCTCCCGGTAGTGATCCGGCCTCCACACGTGCCTTGGGAAGATCAGGCAGCAAGAGGGCCAGAAAAGACTGAAAGGGCAGCAGATGGGGGCCAAGGCCAAGGGATAAGAAGATGAGGGGCGTGGGGGCATGGAGGTGACAGCAGGGAAAAGACCAGCAGGCTTGGCTAGGGGAGCCTCTGCTTACAGGCCAGCAGACTGGGGACAGCAGGTATTAGGGAGAGCCAGGGACCACAAAGTCTTCCCCTAGGATTCCAGAGGCTGCCCAGGGAAAGGGCCCAAAAGGGTGGGCTGGTTCAGGGTCAGGGCCAGCCCCCCTTCCCTGCCTCCAGGGGCTTAGTTCTCTCAGAATAAAAGCCCAATGCCTAAGTGTCAGTAGAGGGCTCCGTGTGGAGGTGGGGATGCTGCTGACAGGGACAAGGGAGTGCTGGAAAGTCCCTGGCTTTCATCAGATGGAGCCCTTGACCCCTCTTCCCACAATGGCTAGACTCCCACACAGACAAGGCAGTCATTGAGGCTCTGGCCAAGAACTTGCAGTACTGACCCCATCACACACCCAGGAATAGATTCGTAAAGAACTCAGAGTATTCCCTGCCCGGCCTTTCTGCAGAAGTCCCCAGCAGATGGGAGTGGAGGGCTCTCTTCTCTTCTGCACGAAGTTAGCCAGCAGGAGCGTCGAAGGCAGTGAGCCCTACCACGTCCCTTCCCAAGACACGGGAGGATCTCCCGTTCGTGTACTCACCCCTGCCCAGGTCACAGGCTGCTTCCTGGATCACGGGCATGCCCGGGTCTCTCTCCGCGGACCGCGCTCCATGCTGGCCACATCACCCCGTGCTCCTTGCAGGAGCCGCTAGCCGGCCTGGCTCAGGAGCTTTAGGCTTTGTGGTGACTGTTGGGCCACAACGACTATGAGCTCAATTTCTAAAACTCCCTGTGACGTGGGCGCCAGCCCACATTCAACCAGTCTCTGTCTTTCACTCGATCACTCCACTTCCCTCTCCTAGTCTCTGTCTTTCACTCGATCACTCCACTTCCGGAGCCAGAACCAGCCAGAGACCTAGAGGCCCCCATAGGAACAGCAGCATCCAGAGGGGCCTGAGCGGCAGTGGTAGCGAGGCATCCAGGGGTCGGGAGTAAGGATCCGCTTCGTTGGCCCCTGGGGCTGCTGCTCCCTCTGTGGGCAGCAGGGGGCGCTACTCACTGCAGCTGGAGTCAGAGGTCAGCATCCACTCTCCCCTCCAGCTCCTGGGGTATTTCATTTCTCACCACACACAGACACACACACACTCCCAGCCTGCACTCTTGCCCTCACAAGATCCTTAGCCCTCATTCAGGTTGGGCATCATTCTTCCCTAACGAGGTCATCAAGGGGACAGGCATGTGAATGAAGAAAAGGCAGGGAGGGGACAAGGGCCGCAGGTGGGTGGGTCCCACACCCAGCCCTTCCTGGGGCTCTCAGCGGTGGAGCAGAAGTCTGGAGCTGACTGCCTGTGCCAACCAGGCTCCAGGGACATGGTCAGGACCCAAAATGCGTACTTCCACGGGAGCTGGAGAGACTGCGCTCTGCTCCACCGGCCGGGTGCCGAACCCCTCCACACTCCCACTCTGCCAGACCCAGACAGCACCAAAGGGCAATTCACATCTTTCCCCAGAAGAAACTGACCCACAGCGGGCACGGAGACAGTGTGTGCACGTCACACACAGAGACACAGAGACAGCATCCCTGTGTGCTCCCCAGAGCAGAGGACCACAGGCCACTCAGGGACTTGGCTCCACCTCTGGGAGGGAAGCAGCCTAGCCTTGACCCCTCCCTACTGCGCCCGCCTCCCCTCAGCCACCTTCCCGCATGCCCCCACCCCACTGGCCCCAACCGGGCACCTGGAATGGGGTAGCTTTGGGGCGGGTTATGGGGGGACCCCTGAGGGACTCAGGGAAAAGGATGGAGCCCGATGACTCTGTGGACTCCCGCCACACAGTGGCTCTGAGCTGGGCGGCTGTTCTACCATCGGACGCTTCCCCTGCACAGAAGGAGCTCAGGAAGCTCAGGCGAAGGCAGGATGCGCCTCACCTCTAAAGCCCACAGGCCACTCAGCCAGGACCAACCCTGTTACGTGGTTAGACCCTGTGAGAGCAGCAGAGGACCCCGAGGCTGCTGGGTATCCTGGGATTCAAGAGAGCAGAGGCCCTGACATTCTGGTCCCTTTACCCATCCAAATATTAGCCCTCAAGAGACAGGAACCACATCTGGTCTAGATGTGGGTACCCAAGTTCAGAGGCTTCCA